CGGTTAGAGGAGAATATCGTCCACAACACGAAGATATTGATGATAGCTGGGTTACAACACAAGATGATTTGGATCATGCTCTAAAATCATCCGCTTCAATGGACATCACGCAGATCTATCAAAGTTCAAATTTTCTGAGACGGCCAGTTCCTCTTGAGAATACAGAAGCTCCCATATTTGGGGACTACGAGTATAAAAGTAGTCTACAATCATCGCGCCTTGTAAATCCCTCTTCTGCACGATCTACACGCCCTGTCTCATCATCGCCCCATTTACCGACTCTCTCCAATATTTCCAGCGAAATCGATCTACCAACACCTTACAAAAACCTCGATGGGTCGAGTACACAATCGTACATTACCAGTCCCGCCAAGTCCATACTTAATACCCATGAATCTTCACAAGCCCCCGATCCGACACAAAATTTGAAGGACAATCAGCAATCTCCTCATGTCATCGCAACTACACTTAACTCAGAAGTCACCGAAATGACCCGGGAGGAAAATCTTGAAGATAACAACTCGGAACGTGTCCAGAGATTGGATGACAATAAAGAAGCCAAGGCAGAAGGAGTCGCTTCGGCAATTAATATTGCGCTTGAGAGCGAACAAATTAAGGAGGTTACCGAACTGCAAGCTAACCAAGACTCTAATATTGATACAATAGCTGCTTCTGAAAAAATTCAGGATGAAGGAGATATGCAAGGTGTGGCTCAGGATATGCCGGAAGAGGTGCAGGAAGCTATGCGGACGGAGGCCGATGCCGATGACGCCCTAAATTCGGTTCCTTCTAGCGGCCAAACATCAACGTCATCATCACCCGCACGAACAAACAACCTCACATCATCTCAAAAACCCAGGAGCATTAACCAAAATTCCAAAAGCAGTATGCCGGACCAATTTGCGCCTTTGATACCTAGTGGAGAAGAAGTCCTCTCACCAGCTAGCAACCAGGATCTTACCGAATCTCTGACTGTTAGGGAAGACATTGTAGCTATTCCTACCGAAGATAATGGGCCCATCAAAGCTCCTATCTCCAGTCTACAGTCTGAAGATCAAATGATTGTTCAAAATGACAGCCCACAGAGTCCCTGGGCACCAGTTGAAGCGGGACTGATAATTGCACCTCCATTACTTGCAACTACTGAAATTGTCGAACCACAGATTGATGACGAGTTTCCAAATTCTGGTTGGCAGAGAGAAGAGCGCCCAGTCACGCCAGATAATGATATTATTCGACCTTTCCGCGATCTCATGACACCAAGTCCTCCACCAGAAGAACTAGAGACACCAGAAATCGACCAGCGGCCATCAAACACGCAGCTTCTCGTAGAAGCCGCTACACTAAATCCATGGGTAAATGGCTCCAAGAAAAAGAGTACGAAACGCAAGCGAGTATCATTCGGAATATTGGATGAAGAAGATCCATCTCAATCTGAACGTAGCTCGCAGCGTCAACGCCGGTCACCGTCTCCGGAGAGCTCATATCGCCCCGGGGATCTCGGAAGTAAAAGAGCTGAGTTTGACGACAACATCACAAATATTGACAGCTTCCAAAATCACTTCTCCGCAATTCGTAGAAAATCTGTGGGTGATTGTACACCGAAATTTCACAGCGCCACTCAGCGCCCTTCTTCGATTGTAAAGTACAAGAGCACCCTTTCGGGTGCGACCAACCTGGTTGCCAGTAGCCCAGCAGTTGATGCAATGGCAGAAGCTTTCATCTCAGCTGATCGCCATTCTTCACGAGAGCGAGAACGTCGTCTCACGTTAAGTCCTTCACGAAGCCGGAAAGCAAGGAGTCAAAGTTATACCACTTTTGAGGATGGAGATGGAGGTGATTTGGGAAGCCAAGTTTCAAATTCTTGTTTATCTACACACACAGCTCTGAATGAAACTTCTAGTAATGCTAAATTGGGAGACCACATCTTGGGAGACTTTCTGAATGAAGCGGAAGATTTCTTAGGAGGGGGTTGGTCGGTAGAGGGAGAGATGAATAAAGCTAGCACGGATTTTGAATTGGCAACACCGAAACGGGATAGTGGTTTACATTCACGCGGCATGTTTTCTGTTGAGAAGATATGGACATGATAGGTAGGGTAGGGTCTTGTAGCGAAAGGGATTATTATGCGTGGTGTCGAGTTGATGTGTAAAATTGTTTGGGTTTTGGTGTTATGGATGGATGGATGGGTGGATGGATGGAGGGAATACCGGATGAAACGGATGGGATGCGAGATGGATAGAATACCCTTGCTTACCTACATAGCCTGGACAAGGACAAATAATCTTATGATGAAGTTATAGTCATAGTTCTAGTTAGTTGTAGTAAATAATTACATAACGTCTTTTGTGGTTCGATCTTTGGAATGTGATTTTATGGGTTTGCATTTACTTGGATTGGTAGGTAGGTTAGGTTAGGTTAGGTCTGGTGGGTGGGTAGGTAGTGTTGATTTATCACCATAATTCGAGGCATGCTGCAACGGCAGGAAATCCGATTTCATTCCTTTCCCCGCAAAGCTTGGAAGTCAATTACTTATTATTCAATTTATCATTATTCGCAATGTTTGAAACTTTGACCGCTTCGATTACGTTGGCTAATTACTGGGGCGACCGGTAATTACGGGGGCCAATGGAATGCATGTTGATGTTGTCGTGGAGGGAATGTGGAATTTTTGTGGTCGCACGCTGGAGGGATCTGGATTCTGGAAAAGTTAAAGTTAGGAGGGAGGGGGAGGTTAGTTAGCGATGATGACCACGTTTTGTGAGGGGGGATGGGGATTGGATTGGGATTGGATTGGATTTGGATTGGATTTGGAGGGGGATTTGGATGTGGATGGGAATAGAGTTGTGGGTGGAGATAGATGTGGGCGGTGCGGTGCGGTGTGTTGGGGATAGGAGGTACAGGAATAGATTTACGATAGATAGTAGGAAGGGGTGAATCTGGTGTGAAGCTGATGGTTAGGTAGGGTGAGTGGGTGGGTGACTGGATGAGTGGGTGGTGAGATGTTTGGGGTTTGGGGTTTGTATATTGTATATCGTAGAGTGTCTCGAGAGTGTAAGTAAATGGAGAATGGAGAATGGAGAATGGCTAAATTCGAGGTACTGGTAGGGATGATGGGATAATCATGTAGATTTCTGGGTTATCTGGAGTATTATGTATCTCTATTTGGGGTTTTGCTAGGTAGGGTAGGTATTGTCGGTGTGATAGATTGGATAAGAGGTTGGGATTGGGGATTTGGGGAGATGCTTATCTGGATTCTGATAAGTTAGCTAGATACCTACCTAGTAATAAGCCACGCTTTCAATCTCCATTTCGATTACCTACCTATAGTACCATCGTTACTTGGGAGCTTGGCATTGATGATTGATAAGGATGATGCAGAAAGCCCGAGAGAAGCATGACGATAGAGAGAATGGAGTGGAAGTGGAGAATGGGTTTTGCTGGAGAAGGAATGGATGTTCTTTAATCTACGATAATTGGGACCCGCGTTATTAATAAAGTCCGGTGTGCCATGTAACTTGATGTAAGAAGGAAAGTTCATAATATCCACAAGGTTGGAGCAATAATAGTTCACCAGTTTCTAGAATTCTCATATGATAATGATGCAAGGGAGCTGGCTCGAGGCTGGTCAATCAATGGCCATGGAATTCTATCACTTGTCGCATTTGCAGGTCGTCGATCCTTACCGTCTCCCGTCATCCTACGTGGTATGGGTGGAAGGTTGTGTGTTATGTGTTATGTGTTATGTGTTATTTGTAGGTGTATGTGTATGACAGCCCTATGCCCTTCCATCTACCCTACCTACTACCTACATAGGCAAGAGGTAATTCGATCGTCCCAACACCAATACCGAGAGCGATATCGACGCAGGGAAATGATGCCAGGAAATATGTATGCACATGTGTATGGCATTACTCACGTATTCACTCTTGCTCTTGATCCCGCTGTCACTTACTATTATTACTAGGTAGGTATTCAACTCTCCCTGATTCGTCATGGATGCTCTCGAAGCCCAAATTACGTTTTTTGGGATTCCTGCCCAGCGGAACGTGATATACTTTTTCGTCATGTGTCTGGTGGTCCCTCGAACTCCACGGGTTGGTGGTGTTTCAAGAGTTTCATTTCTTTAGAAGAGTGATAAACATTTGATTCTGCTCGATTGTACCACCAGTATCCAGGTACCAAGGACTCAGTCTGTTGTTCTTCTTGTTCCTGTCTGGTCCTCTCTATTTCTCTGTGTGACCACTTCTTGCCCACTTTTTTAACGTCTCTCGCCTCTTCTAAGTTCCATTACTACTCCCTACCTGGTAACTTATTAGTAACTTATTAGTAACTTTTAACCCAACCCAACCCATCTCATCCCGTACCCGTACCCGTACCTGTACCTGTACCTTACTCTTACTATTCATTCCACTTCATTCCATTCCTCTTTCTCCCAATTGATTGATCAACACCATCCCAATCCCAATCCCAATCCCAACAACAACACTGCTTCACTGCTTCACTACATCACACACACTACACTACACAGATAACATATCAAGCTCATCCATCAATCTATCAATTAATCGGGAAAGAACAAGACAAGAGGAAAATCAGTCGTTGTTGTTGTTGTTGTTGTTGTTTCTTAATCTTATCAAAGAAACACAAGAGGGAAAACCAAAAAAAAAAGAAAGAAGGAGAAGAAGAAGAAAGTACAAAACACTGAAATTCCATCCAATTCATCTAATTCCATAGAATTTCCTATTTTCTATATCAAGAAGAGAAATTCCACGTGTTTTTACTAGCTTCAAGAGATCTCTATTGTTGTTTCCTAGAGAATTTATTCTTCTATCAAACATACATTTTCCCTCATCGTAAATCCTTGCCTGATTGATCCTTGGCTTTCAATTCATTCCTCCCAGACTCAATCCAGCCATTGACCAAAAAAAAAGAGAGAAGGTTCAATACCTGCGAATCATTTTCTCACACTGTCACTGGATTCGATAAATGTGCGCCTCATGTCAAACTCCCCTACTGACTCCAGAAATGCCGCACACACCCCTCCGGTGAGTACTGAGCAAGGTCAACAGATCTCTCAGCATGGCGATCAAAATGAAGCACAAGGAAGGGCCAACGCGCCACCAACTTCATCAAGTGCAAATCAATCTTCTTTGTTAACTCAAGCTCTATCCTTGAATCTTCAAGAATCGGCGGCAACCAGTATCGATCCGACTCCTCGCACACCTCGACATACGCTTTCCAGCATAAGACAGCCACGACCTTCTTCCTCGAACCATCAATACCAGAATGAGAGAGCTAGGAATTTGGCAGAGGACTTGAACGACGCGGTCATTGCTACAGCTTCGATTACCTTCAATCCAAACGGCTTCATGTCTAACAGACCCGTCAGTGCCGGGGCAACGCCCTTCGTCTCCACAGGATTGATCTTCGATATGGATCAAGTCAATCATGCTCTCTCCGGTCACCGGGACTCCTTCAGAACTTCAAACGCCAAAGGAAGAGGGACCTCTCTGGAGCGAACAGCAAAGGAGAAGAGAGTCCAGGATTTACCCAAAGGGTCTTTCTCCACCAACCCAGGTGATACTGCCATAATAACACGACCATCAACACCCATGCAGGAACCAGCTCGGTCACTTTCAGATGAACCCCCTGTAGATGGAGTTCGAGCTAGCTATCGATCATGGAGAGATGCCAGGGCAAGTCCACCTGTGGAGAAGGCCTGGTCCATCTGCGAACAAGGGGATGACGATCAAGGTGGTTCGGTCGAAAAGGCTATTGCGGAAGCGCTATCGGGAGTCGAGCACAACAACCGCAGTCGAAAAGCAAGTCACAGCTTGAGATTTTTTAGAGAAGGTCTGCCAGAGGATAAGACAAAGAAGCGCGAAAACAAGAACAGAGCTCATCCAAAAGATGCAAATTCTTCTGCTAGGATCAGTAGCATACCAGAAGGTGGGACAATAGATACAAGAGGCATTGCAAGTGAGCCGTTGTCACCTTTTCCAGATCCGAAGTCGCCTACCAAGTCGTCCGCCCACAGCAAAGGTTACGAATCCACTCCCAATCCTACCGAGGGACTGGCTACCGAAACTGATTACTTTGATCCATCTCACAGTATCGAAACTCTGCGTCCAGACAAAGTAAGACGGATGCCTTCGCAGCTACTGGCGGATATACGCAAGCATCACAATTTAACACCCGGTAATGCGAAAGGATCTTCCTTCTCAGGAAGCATACCAGCTCCAGAATCTGAGAAGTCGAAGTCGGATTCGGGCGAGGAGAACTCACTAGGCAAACCTCAGTTAGATCGAGAAGACAGTGAAGATGGCACTAAACTAATGAAGACTAAGAGTCGTGATGACGGTGATGAATCCGGCGAGGAGAAGATTTCATCGGCGTTATTCGTTCCTCACAAGACCCCTCATGGTACATCTGAACGGAGGGGAGAGGGCCCGCGAGACAGAGTAGACCTTGTCGCAAGGGCTGGGGGTAATGATCAAGTCCAATCAGAAGATTCAGACCCACAACAGTGGCTTGAAGAACATCGAGTCCCATCTTGTGAAGTAGATAAAACTTATGAAAGTCAAGAAGGTAAATCACGACCACTACCATCGCCACGTCTTCCTAAGCAGCATGAGCCAGCAGCAGAAAGCAATGGCTATATCACTCCTACAGATACTTATGACCCAAATCATGACTCGTACGATGAAGGAGAATCCACGGCATATGAAGAATCAAGCTTGACTGATGATCCTGAGGCAACACCTACATCTTCAAGGCGTCGTCGTAGCTTCATGGTGCCGACACCCAAGATACATGTCAGCGAAGACCAAGACGAAGCTAGAAAATCAAAAGGCTCTGTTGAATTAATTCCGTACAAGCATCAAGTCGGTGGTCACACTACCATGTGGAGATTTTCAAACCGTGCCGTTTGCAAGGAATTAAATAATGGTGAAAACAAGTTTTACGAGATATGCGAGCAGAAACATCCGCAGCTTATGAAATTTCTTCCAAGGTACGTGTGTATTTCATTGACTCATCCCCGCTTCTGGCATCGAAGCTGAGTCTTCATCAAGACAACAAACCAAGCCCTTCCTCAGGCACCAGTTTCAACCTGAACTAATGTACTTATTTTGATTGATCTTTAGATATATTGGTGTTTTGAATGTGACTTTGGAGAAGAAGCATGTGCGACCAAAAGTACCACCCAAGGATGACAAAGACGCCACGGCCGACTCCAATGGTACTGACGGACAACTAACAAAAGACGATGCTGCTACCTCGACCGGCACGAATGGGCAGGCAAACTCTATCAAGACCCCAGAGCCAACAAGAATGATCAGCCAGTCACTAAAAACATCTTCTATTCCTATAGCAACTGTCAATTTTGCTGACAATAGACACATTATACCAAAAAGCTTTCTACAACCCCATCCTCATCTAATTGACCCGGTCGAGGCCCCTAGTACCAAGGAATCTCACCAGCAAAAAGGTCAAAGTCAAAGTCAACCACCGCCCAGCGGCGATTTCACGTTTCGTCCAAAATTATCAGACAAGCATGCAGTCAGCTGGGGCGCAACCACGATCAACAAGGAACTTCGAAACAAAGTTTTTGGAGAAGCATTTTTACAGCAACCAATCCCCATTCATCGACATAAGAAGCTAGGAACGCAAAATCGAGCGATTCGAAACGGTGCCTCGCTACGGAATGCCAATTCGGAATCCAGCTTGAAAGTTCAATCAAATAAGATGGTCGATGGCCAACAACCTAAGGACTCAATGCGCACAAGAGCTATCAAATCTGCGGCTGAACAAAAGACTGGACTCTCGCCAATGACACCTGTTACGCCTGCCCCGCCTGTATCGACGAATGATTCCAAAGTGAACGGACACGGCCATGTCGAAAATGGAGAAGATGATGATGAATTCGATCATATGGCTGGCACTAGTGCTCCTGAACCTGAGATTGCAGGACCTCAAGATTCTCCTAAACGGCCAAAGAGACGTTTCTCCAGTGGTGGGCTTCGCCGTAGGCCTACGGAAGTAGCTGATGATCGAGGAAATCTCAAGTATTTTGAAGAGGCAGATGATGCTGGCTACAAGGGCGATGAAGAAGACGTTTTTGCTATGGATCCCGAACCGGCTGACGCACAAAAGGTGACATCATCTGTGAAGGAAGAGCCGACACGTAAGCTTGGAAATGTCAATGAGATTCCTAAATTGACGCCAGTTGATTCTAATACTATGATCAAACGTCCAGTCACCCCAAAGATAACACCGAGCGCTCTTATAATCCCTCCTCGACCTGTCAATCCCAAGGAAGCCCAGACGCAAGGTCAACGGATTCAATATTTTTTACTTTTGGAGGATTTGACGGCTGGCATGAAGAAACCTTGTATTATGGATCTCAAGATGGGAACTCGTCAATATGGTATCGATGCAGTGGAGAAGAAACAACAATCCCAACGCACGAAGTGTGAGGCGACAACATCTCACGATCTAGGTGTCAGAGTTTGTGGTCTGCAAGTTTGGGATGTGAAGACTCAGGGGTACGTTTTCCATGATAAGTATTTCGGAAGAGATCTCAAAGCCGGACCGGACTTTCAAAAGGCTCTTACTCGGTTCTTGTATGATGGCGTCGACGATGGAAGTGTTTTACGACACATTCCGACTCTCATTCATAAGCTTTCTACACTTGAGGTTTTGATCAGGAGCTTACCGGGATACCGTTTCTACGCTGCCAGTTTGCTTTTGTTCTATGATGGCGAAACGCACGAAGAGGAAGAGTCTGATAGTAATACATTTGAACCCTTAAGCAGAAGAAGGGAAATCGATCTCAAGATGGCAGATTTCGCAAATTGTGCAATCAGAGAAGATTGTTTAGCACCAGGAAGAAATTGTCCACCTCGGCATCCTGATCAACCGGATCTGGGATTCCTTAGGGGATTAAAAAGTTTGAGGAAGTATTTCTTGGCTATTCAGAGAGATGTTAGGGCGAAGATGGGTATCAAGACGAGGGATTGGAATGATGAGCAAAGACAGATTGATTTGGAGGATGCGTATGATGAGGATGAGGCGAATTTGAGTTATTAATTTCGCAATGCTCTTCCTCATTATACTAACTTATCGGTCTGTGGCCGAGAGATTACACCTAGCAGTTGTTGGGATCACAATAACTAAATTATATTCATTATCGTATACCCGGTCGAAGTTTTTTTTCGTTCGTTCGTTCTTTCTTTCTATCAGAATGGATGGGATGAGGAAAGGAAAGAAAGGGCTCGGGATTTTTGATTCAAGCTTTTACTCGCTTGTTTACTCGTTTGCATTCGTTAGGAGTATAGGCAGTTCCCAGCTTTTTTTTTGTAATGATTCAGGACATGGGAAAATGCTGCATATCATACCCTGCATATTGGTAGGTGTTTGGGCTTGGGTTTAAGATTGAGATTGAGTCTTTAGTTTTATGGGTTTGTGCTTGTGTTCTGGTTTGTGGGGCGAGGAACGGGGTTGGGAATGCAATGGAATGGAAGGGGAGGAGGTTCGGTTGTGGTGATTGTGGAGTAGGGGGTGCGGCGGTGTATTGATTTGCTTCTGTGTGTATTTTTTTCTTCTGGTTTTTTTTTATCGGTTTGTGGAATGGATGATTGTGGTAGTGGTAGTGGTAGTAGTAGTAGTGGTAGTGTGCAAAAATTCCAGGTGCGAGGAGTTTGCACCTGGATCGGGGAGAAATGGGAAGGAGCTTCAGATGCATTGGTCATTGATATCGTGGTTATACGTGCCGTGATCGGTGGTCTTCTTCGATGATGATGACGATGATGCATGCATAGGCAGTTCTTTTTGATTGTTTTGTGGGAATCGAGGGGTGTGGAGAATTGATTTGGAGGGGGCGAGGATAGTCGATAGTGGATAGGGGATAGTGGATAGTGGTTAATGCATAGTGTATGGAGTGAGTGAGTGAGGTTAGCTGGTTAGTCAGAGTCGGTAGTCGGCTTGTAGGAATACATAATTTAAATAATCATTGTGTACATGGATGGACTGAGGGAGGGAGTGAGTGAGTGAGTGAGTGAGTGAGTGAGTGAGGACCAAGAAAGGTTAGATCATACTCTGTAGGTAGGTAGTGTGGTAATATTTAAATTTATTCATTGCCAATAATCCTCGTCAAGAAGAGATCGATTTACTACAGTACTACAGTACACGCTACCACACCTCTCAAACTGCATCTATCACTCATCCTCCATACCAATGCCCTCCACCTCTCCCAACCACTCGCCCTTCGCCCCCTTCAACAACTCATTAACATTAACCGTGCCACTCGTCAGGTATCTCTCGCTCACCCCCACATTAACTCTCTGCGCCAACAGCGCTCGCAATTCCGCTCTCAGCGCTCCCACTTCCGCTTTACTCATCCCTCTCGCTTCCTTCTCCTTTAACCGTCTTCCCGTTCCCCTGCCCTTTCTCCCTCCGCCCAACGCTTCAAATTCCTCCTCGTCATACTCGACGCCCAATTCCTCCGCTGCGTTTTTAACCCAATCGTCATCGTGACCTTTCTTTTCCTTCGCCAATGCACTATCTGCGATTTTCTTCGCGAGCGTCACGCGCGGTTTAAGTCTCGCGACGACTCTGCGATCGATATCTAGACTTCGGATGTAGAATTTCGATTTCTTTCCTTCGCCATGCAGCGCATTTTGGGCATGGACTTTGGCGACCAATCTGCGGGTTCCGACGACTTCCTCCGGGCCGCAGAGGAGGATGCTGGATCCCGAGGCGGCGGCACGCGCGGTGCGACCGGATCGATGTACGTACATGTCTGCGGTGCGGGGGAGATGGTAATGGATGACTAGTTGGACGCCTCCGATGTCGAGACCACGTGCTGCGACGTCGGTGGCGACGAGGACGGACCCGGTGTTGTTTGTGCGGGAGAACTTTTCGATGGAGCGCATGCGGGCTTTTTGGATCATTTGGGAGTGGAGGGAGTGGGCGGGGATGTTGAGCGTTTGGAGCATGGGGGTTAGGCGGCGAACTGAGTGAATGGAGTTGGTGAAGATGAGGGTTCGCTGATTGGGGTGGTGCAGGAGGAGAGAGTAGAGGTAGAGATCCTGCGAGTTGTTAGTAGTGTGCACGTGAATTGTGGTTTATGGAATGTTACCTTTTCTTCTCCGCCACATTCTACCATACCCTCTTTCAAATTGGCTGCCATTTGCGAGATTGGGTTAACGTCAACAAATTTGGGTTTGTCTTCTCTGAAATTGAGCTTCTTCAAAAGATACTCCATAGATTGACTTTCATCCTTGAAAGATTGCTTGCCCTTTCCTGCAAGCTTTTGTTGCAAACCCTTATGGAAAGTGGCCGAGAAAACTAAAGTCTGCCTGGGTGGTAATGTATCTTCCTCTTCGTCGTCTTCATCACCGTGCGTACGATCCAAAGCATTTAAAATCTCCTCTGCTTCTTTGAAGTGGCCATCGGTCAAGAGTCTATCTGCTTCATCAATAACCAAGAACCTAACCTGTTTCAAGCTGGCTGATAATTCATTGCTAGAGCTTATAACCTCCCAGAGGCGACCAGGTGTACCAATTATGATATCTGCCTTGGCTAATTGACGTTGTTGTTTTTGAACGGAAAGACCTCCGGTGACAGCAGCTACCCATGGACTTGTAGGCATACCCTTACATAAAGCTGTAATATGTTCAGTCAATTGATGTGCTAATTCTCTTGTTGGCGAAAGAATTAATGCAGTTGGCGACCTTGTGTTTTTCTTAAGCTCGTCCTCATCGAGTTCTCCATATGCCTCAAGCCACTTTTCCACTATCGGTATTCCAAAGGCCAATGTTTTTCCAGAACCAGTAGATGCCTTTCCAACAACATCGTGTCCAGCTAGCACTTCTGGTATAGCCTCTGATTGAATTGGAGTTGGCTTCGAGAAGCCCATTTTAGATAATGCGGATAGAGTATTTGATGAAAGATCTAGCTCTTCCCAGCTTGAAACATCAACTTCTTTTGCAGCATCCTCTTCGAGTGCTTCGAAAACATTCTTCAAAGGATCTTGTTTAAGGCCGGCATCTTTGTCAATTGGCTGTTGTTGCGCTTTCTCTTTTTTCGGCTTCTTCTCCTTCTTATTTGGTAATTTCTCCTCCTGGTCTTTCGTATCTAGCTTGTCCTTCTTCTGTTTCTTCTCGGGCTTTGGCTTTTTCTCTAAATTCTCTTTCTGTCCTTCCGGTTTTTCATTTTCCGTGCTCTCTTCCGTGGGTTTTAGAATTGGCTTCACTTCACTACTATCATTCGCCTCTATAATTTTATCATCCTCATTATCGTCTCCAAAGCCTTCGAATTCTTCGTCGTCGTCCTTTTTAGGCTGTATTTTGGAAGATACCTAAGAGAAATGAGCATCCTTCCATACCTCCTCCAAGGATATACATACAAATGTGACAACATCTCCATCCCGCACTACCTCAACATCATCCACCTCTTCTAATCCATAGAAACCCTCGGCATCTTCAAACATATCTGGCATTGTTACTTCATTCCATGGCAAAGAATCTACCGCAACTTGTTTCTTCGGCGCATCTTTCTTTTGTTTTTTGGATTGTTTTTGGATCTTTTGACGTTTTGGGGCTTTCTGTGAGCCATTGGTCTCTGAATGAGAGCGTTTCTTCTGTTTAGTATCCATTTTGTATTGAAAATTCTCGAGGTCGATATTCTTGAATTTTCTCGTGGTATCAAATCAACTCGTTTCTCTCAGAAAAGCATATCGATAACTTTTTTTCCTGAAGACCCCTGTCGATCTAGCCTTTCAGCCCCGCGCTAGATTAGTGGTTCAGCCTTGTCGTAAAAATCAATCATTCATCGACAACTTCAATTCTTCTCCACAACTTTGTTCATTCATAATCGTTCCGTTTCCAAGATGGGAAAATCCTCAAAGGATAAGCGTGATGCGTATTACAGGCTCGCAAAAGAACAAGGATGGAGAGCTCGAAGTGCTTTCAAATTATTACAACTCGATGAAGGCATTAACCCACCCCACTATATAATTACCCTGTGCAGTGTTGTATTGCGCAAAGTACCTTGACTAACTTAATGTTAGAATTCGACCTCTTCTCCGATGTTACTCGCGTCGTAGACCTTTGCGCTGCCCCTGGAAGTTGGTCTCAAGTCCTATCCCGAGTCTTAATCAAAGGAGAGAAATTCGGTCGGGCAGCATGGGAAGACAAGGAGGCTAGAATGCGACAAAACATACTTGAAATCAATATCCCATCTTCAACAGAAGAGAAGCAGCCATCAAACGAGACCGAATTGAAACCTAAGAAAGATGTAAAAATTGTGGCTATCGATTTACAACCCATGAGCCCTTTGCAAGGAATCATAACACTTCGAGCAGATATTACACATCCTGCAACCGTTCCATTACTTCTAAGTGCTCTCGATTCTTCTTATGATCCGAAATCCTTTTCCCAGCAAGCTTCCAACCCCGTGGATCTCGTTATCAGTGACGGTGCCCCTGATGTTACAGGTCTTCATGATCTAGACATTTATGTTCAATCACAATTACTTTTCGCCGCTTTAAATCTTGCACTTTGCGTCCTCCGTCCAGGTGGAAAGTTTGTTGCAAAGATCTTCAGAGGAAGAAATGTTGATCTTCTATTTGCACAATTGAAAATCTTCTTCGAAAGGGTGGTTGTTGCAAAACCAAGGTCAAGTCGTGCAAGCAGTGTAGAAGCTTTCATTGTCTGCTTGAATTTCCAACCGCCAGAGGGATTCAAAGCTAGCATGGAAGATCCTATGGGTGTTGGGGATAGACTCGCCAAAATGGTCGATACAGCTGTTAGTCAAGAGCCAACAGTTTCACCTATCGATTCACAAAATATCGAAGACAACAAACCGTCAGAAAATCAAGTCAAGACAACGACACGTAGAGAAGATGGAGTATGGGAAGTTAAACTTCCTAGTGATGAAGCTAAAGCCAGAAAATCAGGAAGATGGATAGCTCCATTTTTGGCATGTGGAGATTTATCTGGTTATGATGCTGATGCTTCATATCATTTACCAAAGGATCGTATCACACTTGATCCTGTACAACCTCCAACAGCACCTCCATACAAGAGAGCTCTTGAAATGAGGAAAGCGGCAGGTGGAGCGTATGGAAAGACTACGGGAAAGACAGAATAGGAATCATAATATCTTAAAGGTATAGGAAGGAATAGCGAGGCGTTACGGTGGGGGTACATCAATTTTGAATAGCAGACGGGCTTTGTCAATCTAAAGGGAAGGAAGTTCCAGGGGACAAGGTCTTCTGTATGAACAAATGAATTGAGAAATCACTACAAAATTCCATCATTATATTGCCTTTCTTGCTGTGAAGACACACCTTGGGCTCTATGAGTCAAGAGCAAGGAAGAATTTACCCATTTTGAAATCAGATATGTAGCGGGGCATTCTTTGAGTATGAAGTGGAGAAGAAAGTTCTTCCTCTGACACTTCTGCCCCGCTTGAAAACAGCTTGATATATAGAAACGCCATGCCAGACTTCCATCTAATAGGTGAGATGGCCGAGTTGGTCTAAGGCGCCAGGTTAAGGTGATTAACTCTTAACAAACGGTTGTTTACAATCTCCTGGTCTAGTAATAGGCGTGGGTTCGAATCCCACTCTCATCAACATACCTTTTGGATTTTTTGGACATTTTTGATCAGCTTCTTTACTGACGCTTGGCTTACTTGGCATTATGCTCAGGAGGGAAGAAATTCAAAACATTTCCTTTTTGCTCAAAATTTGATATGGGAGAAGAAGTCCATGGAGCTTCAGCTGAACCAAAATTTTCATGCACGTTAAAAAAGTTTTATGAAGCACCCACCTCGGAGCTTTTTCATATCCAATCAGATCCACTTTGAGAAGATATAACTCCACAAGGCTTTGATATTACCCCACCACATCCACATCTCTTTTGACGGAAGGGCAAAAGGGAAGCAAGGGGAATGAAGATATGAAGAAGACATCGGGCTTGTTCCAATGTGAGTGCACGGGCCAACGTGTCAGTCATTGTGCTCAAAGTTTCCTCTTCCAAAAGCTACCTCTTGAAGCAACGAAATGGTGATTCACAACACCACAGAAGAGCAAAATTAAAGCAAAAGAGAAATACTCCCTCGCGTGGGGTCGAACCACGAACCTCTCGATTTATCTATTTGAATTGCTTCAGGTAACAGTCGAACGCGCTAGCCAATTGCGCCACGAGGGATGTTTGTCTTGTTATGGCTAACCTCGCCAGTTTTCATATATATCGTAAGTCAGATTACAGCATAGACCTTCACAACAAATTTCTATCACCTGATGTGTGTTCACTTCAAGAGTATGCCATGAAATCTCTACGCTTCCCATTGTTCTACTCACAACTGAGGGCCATTTAAGTTATAAAATCACTCCTCCATCTTCCTAGCCTTGAACCCCAGTCCCGGTACTCTACTCCTCAGCGCCAAACTGCTCAAAACCACACTAATACTACTCATTGCCATTGCCAAACTTGCCCAGACTGGATCCAACCTAACGTGTTTTCCTCCCCCCGTAATAATTGGATAGAATATCCCTGCTGCTGCCGGCAGCGCTATCAAATTATAAACCAGAGCCCAACCAAAGTTGAATTTGATCCTTCGAAAGACCATTTTACTCAAATCCAACAACGTAATTAGGGATTGGAGATTGCTAGAAACTAATACGAATTCAGCAGAGGAGATAGCAATATCAGAACCAGAACCTATAGCGATTCCTACGTCGGCAGTGGTTAGCGCAGGAGAATCGTTGATGCCGTCGCCGACCATTGCTACGAGTGCTCTTTTGGAGGATGAATTTTTCTTAGGAGGTAGAGACTTTTGAAGATAGGAGATCTGGTTTGCTTTTTCGGAAGGGAGAACTCCAGCTATGATATTGGTCGAGGGAATTCCAACTTGCTGTCCAATAGCATTGGCCGTAGTTTGATTATCGCCGGAAAGCATCCAGACAGCCGTACCACGTGCTTTCAGGGCTGAGATAATAGAAATAGCCTCTGGACGAATTGGATCAGAGATTGCAAATATGGCCGTAAGTTTGTAGGGCATATTCAACGTAGAATAAGCTACTAGTGCTACCGATTTGCCTTGCTGTTTCCATACATCGAAGCGAGATTGTTGAACAGGGGCAATCTTGACTCCATATTGTGTCATAAGTGATTCGTTCCCAATTAGCATTTTCCCGCTACTAAAGCTAGCTCTCATCCCGTAACCCGGCATTTCTTCGATATCTGTGAAGGCTTTGAAGGATGGTTTTGAGTTGTTGACACAGAATGAGACAATGGCTTTGGCCACGGTATGGCTACTATTTTCTTCGGCGACCTTGATCAAATTTAAAAGATCTTGTTCTTTGTTGTTCGTTGGGACAATCAGATTACCTGAGATAATGTCATTGTTTGGAGCATTGTCATCGCCTTGAACAATCTGAATGTTTGAGCTACTCTGGCCGCTTGAGACAATCAGATTGTTTTTGTTGTCTGAGACAAATTCAAAGTTTGTGACGGTTGGCTCGCCTCCTAGAGTCAAGGTGCCTGTTTTATCGAATACCACACAATCGAGCTTACTAGCTTTCTCAAATGCCTCGCCGCCACCCTTTACTAGAATGCCGTGATGTGCTGCAAGACCGCCACCAACGAATAGTGCAGTAGGAGCGGCTAGTGCTAGACCACAAGGGCATGCAACAACAAAAACAGCTATAGCAAATTGAAGAGACCAAACAGCCCAACCCCTAGAGCCACGATAATCGTCTGGTAAGACTCCTGAAAGTCCGAGAGATAGCCAAACAATGAAAGTGAGAATGGCAATGAGGGTAATGACAGGTACAAAGTAACCGGTTAGAGTATCTGCAATTCGTTCCATGGGTGCTCTTTTAGTTTGTCCCTCACGAACTGCCATGACGATTTGATCGAGCATTGAAGATCCAGCGACTCCAGTAATCTTGACTGTTACTGGGGATTCCTTGTTGACTGTTCCAGAAAACACTTTATCTCCCGCACTTTTCTTGACCAACTTTGCCTCTCCGGTCAAACTCGATTCATCGAATTTAGTCTCTCCCTTGATAACTTTGCCGTCGCATGCTGGAGAGCCACCATGTAAAACCTTGATAGTATCACCAAACTCAAGCAAATCAACGTTGACGCTTCTGATAGAGCTTTGTTCACCCGAGGTGGTTCCTGAATGTTCATCAGAGTATGGAACAAGAAAATCCCCGTCCGGTTCGTTTGATAGATTCGGGACAATTAAAAGTGCTTCTGTGGGTCGTAGCTTCCCTAACATAGTCACAGCGTCATCAGTTCTTGACTTGCTGTAAGCTTCAATAAGACGGCCAACGAGTAAAAATAAGGTCAAGAAGACGACTGAATCAAAATAGAAAGAGCTATCATCCACCATAGCAGTCGGATGAGATGCAGCGGCGATTAATTGAGCCACAGATGATACATAGGCAATCGTAGTACCTAGTGACATGAGCATATTCATGCTTCCGAAACGATAGAATCTTTGAAAAATTGGTGTCGTGCTGCCAGGTCTCCATAACGAGCGTATTTCCTTCAGAGCTCTTCTATGGAAGACATCGGCACAAAGAAAGTATACCGGCGTAGCCATGACGAGAAGAGACCATTGTGCACGATCGACGCCGGCTCTAAGTGGCTGCATAAAATAATGTCTGATTGTATTGGATGGCGGTACCACACTCATGAAAATGATACCGATAAGGAGGGTGGGAATGGCGATGATAAAAGTGACGATAACTCGAAGTAATATTCTTTGTTGCTCCCTTTTGTGGATTATTTGAGACCGCTCTTCGATAGTCGGTGGATGATATATTGTCGGTACAAATCCTTCTTCGACGTTGGAGATTTTGGAAAGAATCTGCCTGATTGTGAAAGTAGGTGCCGATGGGGTGTAAGTTATTTTTAGTATTGGGTTCTCTAAACTCAAGGCTCTGTCTAGGGTAATGCGATCGCCAAAACTGATCAGACTGTTGTTGATTCGAGGAGGGCAATGATCACAATACATGCCATCTACCATAATCTCAACCGTCCTCGTCACTTTTTGTTTTTGAGGCTCGGGTTTCAAATTGATAACACTATCCAAGGCCGCATCATAACCAAGATCCTCTATCTCTTCAACTATTTGACATGTGTATTTCTCATCGGCGTAGTCAACTGTAGCGCTATTCGAGATGAGATTAACAACGACATCCCTCACCCAGGACTTCTTCTTTAGTCCTAGCACGATGTTATTGGCACAAGCGGCACATGTCATACCACCAATAGCCAGCGATGCTCGAAATGTCTGAGGAACTGAATCGATGGAATCAACGACTACCAAAGGTTCCATTCTTTTGCCGGAACTTTCTGTGGTACCATCGTTCCTACCATCACTTGTATTATTATATGGCGGCTCTGAAAGTATACTTGATTGTCCCAAATTCTTTGAAACATTTTGTTGATTCGCTCCCGTGGCGTCCTGGCGACAAATTTCACAATTCTCCAAGTGCCGTTCATAGTTCGAATCAAAGTATGACGATGAAAATTGTCTTCGGGGTCTTCTGGTAGCTGACCATTTTTGAAGCACTTGGTCTAGGTAACCTGTATCGGTGTCATGTTGTATATGCGATCTTGCAAGACTGCCGTACTCCTCAGACGTAACATCGCACACTTCAAATCCAGCAGATTGCAACGCCTTCCGAATAACTTCAGTTGATAGACTTTTATCGTGTTGGACAGTCACCCATGAAGACATGAGAGATGGAGTAACATCTTTTGGCCGAGGACTCAATGCGTAAAGGGACTTTTGAATATTTGAAACACACGAGGGACAATGAAGATTTGATAATAGATAGGATGTTGTGATCAATACTGAATTTTGAGTTGAGATATTCTCCATCTTCTCACCAGAATTGATATTGTTGTTTGTTGTTGTCGGACAGGTCGTGGACGTCATGTCTTCTTTTAAGGCCATACTTACTTAACCTTATAAGTTTTGAGGAAAGCGACTTCTACTAAAAGTCAAAATTGTAGAAACTTTATTCCAAATTCGAAGGAACTAGATATCCCACGGTATTGTATAGTAAAAGTTTGTATGACTGTTGTCAAGGTGGCGAGCCTACGCACAAAAAGCGCAAACCGCAAAAAACTCTCAAAACAGCACAAAGCGCGCAAAGGGATGTATGTGAATGGGTTATATTCATTAAGGAATGCCCCTCCTTATTGGACTATGTTTCTTATATAATTAAGAATGAGATTCTAAGCTGTGTATGTATATTAATAAGTTTGAGCATAAGATATAGCAACGTCAATGAATGACCAGTCAGTTTTTTTTATTGTCTAGTAGATGGTAGATGCGTTCTGAATCGATTTACAGAAAAGATCTTTTGGATGACTAATCCTTTTCCCGAACAGCCGATGAGACACCGCACCGCATTACTCAAAGCGCTGAGATTTCATACTAGGTAGTTCCAAAACCTAGGTACCTAGGTACAATATATCTTTCCAATATGATTTAATTTCTACACTCAATTCACTTCAGAGTTGAAAATGAGTTGATATCTAATCGTCTTTTCTTCCCTGACAGAGACCGAGAGACATGTCGATAAGACCACCGATAAGCCCTCAAAACAAAAACCGACTCAGCAACGATTTGCTCAGATGTATAGAAGTCGCTTGTAGTCAAGATACGCTTTTCTAGAAGCTTCTTGCGGTTCTTCATTATAACTTTCACTCACTTGCCTATACGCATGATTGGTATGATGCTTGCCGTCTTACATGGTCAACAGGGGTTCGCTTACCTGTATCTCGAGCAGCATCAATCAAAGAAAACTTTGAATTTCCGCTCACAGGGGAGGCAAGCACGTAGGAGCCATCTACTCCTTTGCGGATCATGAAGGTATAGTTGGCCACGAAGTATCCTAGAAGGAAGAACGAACAAGGAACACGACTGGCACGAATGTGCTCCTCGATATCGGCCTTTTCATCAAAGTGCTTGACTTCCTTCAATCTACCATTAGCAGCCTTGCTGGCATTTAGCAGAGATGAATAGATGAGATGAGAAATGCAGGTTGCTTTAGGTGCGTCTGCGACGGTGGTGCCCTGGGATCGCTCGACGCCTGGGGTGGCGGTCTCCCAGTAATTTGTTACAAGGAAGTCGCAGTGTGTGCCTTTGAGCGCCTCTGCGACTGAAAACTTCGAATTCAAGTCGGCCTGGGTAAGGGTAAGTATGCTCCTCGACGGATTAAGAGTCCACTAGTACTTACAGCCACCATTTGGACACCCTGCTTGGCAAAGGTCGTCACAGGTGAATCCACATATTTGGAACCTATCAGCGGAGTTAGTGAAACAAAATAGTGCCTCCGCACAAGTGAATTCTTGAGAGCGACTTGACTATAGCTAAGTTTTACTGTATGGATGTAAACTTCGCTTCGGTATGTCTGGTAATTAGGCGAAAAACCTGTCCTGCTCGGATAATCGGTCTTTACTTAACCTTAAGCCCGGAGGAAAATTACTAACAACTCTCCACAAATATAAACTTCACTCTAGTAACTCTAGTATATCTCATAATCAGACAAAAGAACCGCTCGAATAACCGGTCTTTACTTAAGCCCGGAGGAAATTTAAGAATTCAGGATCTTCTTCGACTTGGCCATATAATTAAGTTTGAGTTACTAGTAGCCCTGCAGCTGAATTAATGATAAAGTAGGCATCACTACAGCTTCAGCTTTCCACCACTGTATAATCGGACCGGACACTAGATAGATGCGATTTGTTTATAACAGCAGTTTCTTAACAAATTACATTGCTCGGAGGTCTCGCTCTCCATTACTGAGCGAAAATCTAACTTCCACCTAGCGTACCGGGCCGGGCACTTGCGATTATTGTGAACCTAACAATTGCGTAGCCCCAGACTTGCCACTTTGAGACCAATGTCGGAATTGCCTCCTCGCTTCGAAAACAGTGTGATAGCTTGAACACCACCTGCCAAATTAATTGAAAATATGGAGACGTATGACGTTACGGATAATTTAGTCCACGCCAGGGGTACTTTTCTTTTGCTAACATATAGTCGTACTCTTCACACCTGCGTTATGAGTTCTATTACTTACACCGACATCGAATTCGAAATACTTAAACTTTATCACTGACCTCATCCCAACTCCACACAGAGTCAAACTTCATCACTGATCGTCAATACGCTATGGCATCGAAAAGAATAATTCTTGTTACTGGTCAGTGAGATCTATTTGCCTGTAGGAGTATAATAAATCTATTTGTCGAAGGTCCAGAATAATATCTTGAGCCTGGATATGCGCTGACCCAATAGTAGGAGCCAACACGGGCATCGGTTTTGACACCACCTACGCGCTTGCCAGCACAAGTCCTAACAACCACATCATTCTCGCCGCCCGCAGCGCTGAGAAGGGTAGCAAAGCCCTCGCCGAGATTGAAGCTCGCAAACCGGCGGGGACGATCAGTCTGATCGAGCTCGACATCACAAAGGACGAATCTATCGCAGCTGCTGTGGCCAAGATCACCGCCGATTTCGGTGTGCTCGATGTACTCGTGAACAACGCTGGGGTTATCCCCCAAGATGCTATCGATCGTCGTTCCGCTTATATCACGACTCTTAACACCAATTCTGTCAGTCCCCTTCTCTTGACTGAAGCTATGGTACCGCTTCTCCAGAAATCAAAGGACCCTCGGATTATTAACGTTAGCTCATGTTTGGGCTCCGTTTCTGAGAGGCTAAACCCCGATTTTCAGTATTATGGCGCGACGGAAGAGGGATATCGTATGTCCAAGGCGGCACTGAACATGGCGACTGCGTGCATGTCTGTGAATTACAAGAGCTGGGGAGCGAAGGTCTGGGCTTTCTGTCCGGGGTATGTTGTCACGAACTTGACCGGCGAGAAGGACAGACAAAACAGGATAAACCAGGGAGCTGAAAGCTCGGAGACTAGTGCCGCTGGGATTGTCGATATCGTTGAGGGCAAGAGGGACGGGCAGCCTGATGAATTTTTGGCAAAATATGGCAAATCCTGGAATTGGTAGGCATGCCTAGTAGATGTGCTTGATCCTTAATGAACAGGGACAGAGGGCTTGAAATGTTAGATTTGTAACAGAACGGCCTTAACATTTATTTGTGTTATGGTAGAAGTAGTTTTCATCTCTTATACTTTGTAATTTTTATAGATAAACTATTAGAAAATCCATAAGTAGATTATGTATCTAACATTGTCCTTCAAAAAGCTAGTAATAAATACTAAGTATATAACCACAATATGCTATTAAATAATAGGCCTTTTAATATTAAAAAATAACAATCTCCTAAGGAATCTGTAAACTCTAAACAAAAGAATTGAAAGTTTCTTTGCTATGAGAAACAATTCCTCTTTTGCTTAATTTATTCTTGTAGGAGATGATTAGTATGTAGAAGCAGATGACGTAGTTCTTCGCCCCTCGACTAGGGTTTTTGTTGACTTTACAGAGTTGTAGCTCGCTTTAGTTTATCTTTATTATCTCATAATAGCTCTCTATAATCTTGATAAGGAGGATACAGATGACGTAGCACCTACGGTAGTAGGTTCTAAATATTAATATTTTATTCTATCTAAAGAGCTAGTCAAGTACTAAAAGAAGCAATCCTTATATACTACGAAGCTAGCCCCTTCGCTTAATACTAGAGTAGTATAATGACCTCGGGACTTAAGGTTATTCACCTATATTTATATAGTAAAATAAGAATATGAAATCTGCTATATAATCTTTTTGATAAGAGTTTAGGCCCCGGCTTATCGTATACTAAGCGAAAACATAGTAAAAACCTTTATCTATTTAACTTTCTAATTATATAAAATTTGAATAAATGAATTAATAAAATGATTCAATCTAAGATTTATAATAGATATTTATTGAAATTATTTAAAAAAAATAAATGAATTATTTTTAATTGTTTTCTTGATAAAGTTATTAGTTTTCAAAGTTAGAATTTTCAAATTTAGAATTTTCAAATTTAGAATTTTCAAATTTAGAATTTTCAAATTTAGAATTTTCAAATTTAGAATTTTCAAATTTTAGAATTTTCAATTTTAGAAATTTCAATTTTAGAATTTTTAATTTTTTTAAAAAATCGATTTTTTTGTATGGGAAAAGTGTTATATATGATTAATTTTGAAAATCTATAATTCTATTAAAAAAATTGTTTAAAAAAATATGTTTTATTTTTAAGATTTAAAATATAATAATTTTTCATAAATTCAGTTTTTAATTTTTAATTTAATTTTTCAATTATTAAATAAATTATAAAAGGAATTAGTTTATATGAGAAAACGACTTTTCTATAGGGATTGTATTATAAAATAAGATAGTATGCGATAAGCTGAGGCTATAACTCTTATATATAAAGAGAATATAAAATAATGGTTTATATTAGCTTAAATAAAATATATATATAAGAGTATATATCTTATAGTATTAATCTAGAAAGTATACTAAACATACTAAGCGTATTAGATAATTATCTTAATTAATATAGTTAACTCGATTATATATAGTTTTTAATAGAATATATGTTATATTTAATATTAATAATACAGTCTATTCTTTACGTCTTTTCTATAGTCTATCTAATCTATTCTATAAGATATAGATTACTATCTAAGATTATATTATTATTAACTAATAATTAAACTTATAGTCTTTAGAACTTATTATTTATAATAATCTTATCGATTATTAATATTCGAGATTCTAATTACTTCTATATAATTAAGAAAACAAAATAAATGTTTATAATATTCGATTAAATATTTAAAATATTGATTAAGTTCTTTTCTAATTACTTTTTGCAATTTAGAATTAAACGATAATATTTTAAATAAAGAATTGATAGAATTGTTACAAATGAAAATAAATAGAAATTATAGAAAATTCTTATAAACAAAGATTTATAATCATAAGATTCTAAGCTGAGAATGTATTCAATTGTATTTTTTTGAAGAATTTAATTCACAAAGAAAAGAAGAGGGTTTATATCTTTAATGAATGACAAAACAAAGAAAGTATTAGAAATATGAATTAGCAAGCAGCGTTATCTCTGGGGCCTCTGATGGGGCCCTCAATGGCACTCTGATTACGAGCATCTCCGAATGCATACACTAAACTCCGAATGCCCTCATTTTCACACCCTATCATCACCTTAAAATTACTCCGTAGCAGGAGCAGCACCCGCGGTCTGGACCTTCTCCCCCACCACGCCCACGACGGTCGCGTAGCCCACCTCGAGCGCTGGCTTGATCGTCAGCGTCTTGCTCGCCGCGTCCCACGAGGAGCGGTGCGAGCTCGTCTCGGTCGTGTTGCTGCCGGACCCACCGAGGCTGATGGGGATGCCAAAGACGCGCAGGTCGCCGCCGGCCTGGGTGGCCTGCTTGTACAGCGAGTCGACCTTGGTGGCCGCGGTACCGCCGAGGGTGATCTCGTAGCCGAGGCCGGTGACCACGACGAGCTGCGAGACGCGGGCGAGGGTCTTGACTTCCTTGGGGGCGTCGCCACGGAGGCGGTAGGCCTTGGTGTTGAAGTGCCTGTTTCTTTTTGGTAAGTGGGGTGGTCCGTTGGGTATGACTTTGTGAAGAGAAGAAGGGGAGTGAGAGGCAGGTGTGGATCATCGAGATACTTGGTTCAGAAACGGAAGGGCAAGTTATGTGTGTTGTATGGGTGATTGAGCGAGAGAGAGAGAGAGGGGAGAGAATGGGGAAACAGAAAAAAGACATACCACTGGCCAGGGTTGATGGCAACGAGCCTGATGTCGTCATAGAGAATCTTGACAGACACGTCCTCGGTCTCGACTTGGGAGCTCGAGTCGGTCGAGGTCTTGGAGTGGTTGGCGCTGGCCCCGAAGGCGAACCAGGGCCCGCAGCTTACGCCCACGCTGCCGTCGCCCGAAGTCTGGCCGAACTTGTAGTCCTCGACTTTCTTGTTCTTGTCGATCTTGAGGTCGTACGACTGGGCAGGCTTCCAGGTGGTGGAGGCAACCTTGGTCTCGGCCGCAACGACAAACTTCTTGTACTCGTCAAGACCCGTGTACTGGGGGACATAATAGACGGCCGGCTTTGGGTCATCGTTACCAGCTTGCTGGAAGCGCTTCATCTCGGCAGCGGAGGGAAGTCCGCCTGCAGCAGCCTCCATGTTGAAGCTGGATGGCCGTTAGTTTCGAGTGTATATTCTGAAGGAGATACCGTCATGGCAAAGGGAATGGGAGTCAATGTGTACTCACCCCTTCTTCAGCCCTGACTGATCTTGGGCCTTCTTGATGTTGGCCTTGTCTTTGCTGATCTTGGTGGCCAATGGGCCATCCACCTGGAACTGGAGTTGCTCGATTCTGCTCGCGATGTTGGTCGCATTGTTCTCAGCCGTGATGTAACCGGGCGCTTTGCCATCCAGAATCCAGTCATAGAGATTGGGAACTTTGGTGAAGCCATCCGCATAATCAGAGACATAGGTGTCTTTAGCCTTCTGCTTCTCCCGCTTGAGCCACTCATCTGCAGCATTTTTGTCCTTTAAGGCGTTGACAATAGCAGTGTCCAAACCTTCTCCGGGGCTTCCACCCTATAAATAGTCAGCAAGCCGAACATTGGAATCAATGAAATCATCCTTACCAGGTCGACGTTGGTGAGGAATCTGCCGGTGGTTCATGGTTAGCAGACCTCAACATTGACTGAACAGAAAAACAAGTCTGAGACTCGGTGCCACTTACGTCTCCAGGGCGTCAACATATCCATTCTGGGAGGAGGGGTTGTAAAAAACATCGGCAGTCGACAGGAGGTTGTTGCCGATGTTGAAGATACCCAGATTTCCGTATGGCTCGGGGACGATGGACCCGGCCGGAGGGCCCTTCTGGGCCTTACTGGCCAAGAAGAAAGCCGCATCACCGCCTTCCGTGATCTGGACACCAGCCTTCTCCTTGACGAATTGGCCATAGGCGAGCCAGATGGCTTCAGTGGTCTTGTCGGCAGACATTTTGAAAGATTTTGAGGTGAAATAAGTTGGCTAGAGGAGGTGAATAGGTATGTATGCAAGGCGCTAGGAACAGTGAATCAAGTGGTAGAACTACTGGTAGACGAGGAGGTGGATGCTGATGTCTGCTGTATTCTCCTCTGATCGAGGGGGCATCAGACGAGATTATATACTCGCTCAGTCGACGTCCTCTAAATCTCCTTACCATATTCAGATCTTGCTTGTGCTCACTGTGAGCCCGCATATCTCGAAATCCTCATAACTTGCCGCCGCTTTCTCCAAGCAAAAACTTGCCATGTTGATCCCCGACTTGCCAGTCTCCTGCCTCCCTCGAGCACGCCTTCGTCCCTCCAGCCAGCCACGACAATCTGAAGGCGCATGATGCGTACAGCCTAGCGAAGTAACGTTGCGCCGATGATCTGATTCCTCGGAATTCCTGGAGTAGCGCATCGTCAACCTGTGATTTCTCCTCTTTCTTCTCTTTCTCTTCTTTCCCTTCTCAGTAGCAGGGCGATCGTTGGGTGAACGAGCAGGTGGCTAGCTGAATCATATTTCTTCATACAAGGTATATTGCACGGACCACAATGGGCGCCATTTGCCCGCACTCTAGGGGATTTTAGATCCACATTGTAGCCTTTCCAATAAACACGATATTTCAATATTTTCCTACGTTGGCGATAAGCTAGAACCTTTTCCACCTCGTATTCATCGGTTCCTGTAATATTGACAGGAGGTGGCGGCTTATTATACTGACCAGGAAATAGGCGAGATAGGTCATCTGCAGCTTTCTGTAGTTTGTCGGCAGGGAATATATTATAGATCCTTATCGTATCAGGCAACTACTGAGGCCAATAACGCGCATTTAAACAATACACCAAAAACAGATTTTCGCCTAATGAAAAAAGAAATTTTAGAATCTGAATAGTATGTTTATAGAAATCTTATTCCATATAATAGAATTCAATCTTATTTTAGAATTTGTAAAAAGAAAATTATATTGTTGAATAGCCCTTAAAGCTAACTTTATTTATCTAATTTTAGAATTCATTTTTAAATTTTCTATAAAAAGTATACTAATATTTAAAACTATTTTCAAATGGTTTTCCTTATAATACATAAACTACTCTAGAATAAACGAGATAAGCTTAATAAGAATTCCTTATCTTAAACTTGAGCTCGAACTTATCTTACTTAAATCGTATGACTAATATAACTTTAGTTAAATTCTATAATATTAAAAAAAAATATTTAATTCAGTATATAACTCTAAAAAAACTTATAAAATAAAAAAGAAAGTAGTACAATTATCAATTAGAGTTCAAGGAATCGATTTATATAATTACTTTTAAATTATTTTAAAAATTGAAATTTATATTCAATATAATATAATTTTAATCAATAAATCCATTAATTATAGATACCTCAAATATTAGGGTTAATGATTTATCAGATTTCTGATAGGCTGATGACTAATCAAACCTTGAATAATATTATCAATATTAAAAAAAACATTCAATTCAGTATACAACCTTAAAAGAATTGATAAAATGAAAAGAAAAGAATTACAATTATTAATTAGAATATAAAAAATCGATTAATATATTTCTTTTTGAATTATACTAAAAATTGAAATTTATATTTAATTTAAAAGTATTTAAAGAATAAAAAATTCAATTCTGAAAATTGATTATTATTCAAATTTATTAGAATACTTTTAAATTGAATAAAAATTTTAATTTTTGAGATAATTCAAAAAGAAATATATTAATCGATTTTTTATATTCTAATTAATAATTGTAATTCTTTTCTTTTCATTTTATTAATTCTTTTAAAATTGTATATTGAATTGAATACTTTTTTCTATATAAAAGTATACTACTAAATTCTAAATACAGCTTTAGCTTAAGCGAAAATCTATTTTTAATATATTATTCAAATGCGCGTTATCGGCCTCAGTACAATTCCAAGCAGTATGAATATCCGATTTTGTCCAGGATCTTGAAGCGACTACCAGTTGGGTAATCAAGCTTCTTAGCTGGCCGCTGAGTTGGCAGGTGCCTTATGTCCAATCAGATATAATCGCCGATATCGAAATCTACAGGTCTACGACGTTTGTTTGCTTCTCTTTCTATACGCTTTTGGGCAGCTTGGATAGCGGAACGGGTATAATCCAAAGCTTCGCGGTTGCATCGAGCATATACACGTACATCCTGGATGTTGAGGTCATCGACCGGAGGCCGTTTAGTTTGTTTCCAGTCCCAAGTGGCTCTAGGAGCGTATCCGTAAAGCACTTCGAAGGGAAGTAGATCACCGAGAGATGAGTGTGGCAATGTCAATTGAGCATAACCCATCATTGACAAGAATGAAATTGGGTATCTGTCCTTACGTGTGAGGGCATTCAGGGCTCTGAAGTCAAAACACAGACGTAGGGAACCATTAGGCTTTTTCACAAACAAGATTGAGACTGCGAAGGGCACTTGGCTTGATTCAATAAAGCCCTTTGTAGGGTTGTCCATAATATATTCCTTAATTGCCTCTAGCTCTTTCAGCGATATCTTATAAAGAGGGCTGTATTTAAGAGCTTTATCGCTATTACCTTTCAATTCGATCTTGTGATTATATAAGCGGTGGGGAGGGAGAAGGTTTGATTCAGCCTTTGAGAACACATGGGCATATGATGCGAATTTAACAGGGACGACGCGGGGATTATAAGATATAATTTTATCGACAAATAAACATTCGATTTAGAGATTTATGTACTTTATTATAGTAATTACCCTACTAATAAAAAACATTTTTTTCTTACAAATCCTTAATTCTTCGTTTTTTAAATCAAATTTTAAGTCCTATTAGATTATATCAATTTAATAAATCATATTTATTTTTTTTTAGATTTGTATCAAAAAATATTAATATTATAATTCTTTATATATATTAATATTAGAAGCAGATTCTTTATCTAAAGAAGATGTTTTCGAGTATAGTCGATTCTCTATAAGCTATTTACAATCTAAGATTATAGTATAGCTGTTTAAGCGAGTAACTAAGAAATAAATAAATAAATAAGTATAACTATTAATCCTAAGATTAATTAAATTATAATAAATGATTAACAGCCTATCTTACTATTATATCCCTTGACCTGTAATTGATATATTGCGATTTAGATTAAAGAGAACGTGTCAAAATATCTTAGGATATTCTCGAATATGTCCGTTTTGATATGTTCCAGCTCGCCACCGGCCGGCGATAAGCTGCTAGCGAATCTCAGATCTCCAACCTGCCCCGTCGATGCGACGGTATGGCCATTACCGCCGTAGCCGGGCCGCATGTGCATCACGGTGACTCGGTGACTATTGGAGGCGGTTTAGAGCCGGATGAAGATCGAGCCTTTCCGAAAATAAACTTCATATACCCGGACGAAGAATACCGGCATAGGAAAGGATATGATTGGATATACTCCAGGCTCGTCCTCCTATTCGACGTTAGACGTTTGTTTCATAGCTTCATGTGGCTGGCTGAGAACCCCTGCCAATAGCACTAATGTGTTTACCAATGCACATCTAGATCATGCAACGGTTTCTTCATTCAGATTACTTTCCGGCCAGCTGTAGCTTGCGCAGCAGTGTATGAAAGGAGAAGATCATGCAGGTCTTCAAATTTTCGATTCTTTCAAATAATTTCTCACTCTCTTTTACCATTTCCCAAACTCTTCTCATGACATCCACTCCTTGGCTTGGCAACTTGAACCCCAGTCCGTTCTCTCTTCGAACCCGGCAAAGCCTGCCCAGCCACGGAAGCCAAGATGGCAGCTAGATGCTTTCCAAGGCTCTTGAAGAACCTTTCCGACAGTGGACTCGTTCGAGTGCCCGCACCCAGTGCAGCAGCCCAGCCGCCCTCGCCGCAGGTGACCACAGCCTGTGCTGCTCATGGTCTGGCTGAGTCGACAGGTTCACTGGGCGCGGGATTCCCCAGTCACGGCCCCGGCCGCAAACTATCTATCCCCAAGAAACAACCCCCACTGTTCTGGAAAGCCTTTGGGTTCTTTCTCAAGAACAAGTTTTCCAGTTCCGGGAGCTTGCTCGATGCGAACAAGGCCCTGTTCTTTGCAGATCCCGATCAGCCAGGCATCGCAGAGGGCGTCGCCTATCCGAATGAGGTGACGAACTACCAGCTCTTCCAGTTTGCAGACATCATGCAGCGGGCCAACCAGCCATCCTTTTCTTTGAGCAGCGGGATTTCCTACTTTGAGTTCCTCAACCTGTACGTGTGCGATCCAGATCACCTTGCTACTCCCAATAGTTCAAGCTCCAAGTCGCCACTAGACTAACCATCATGCAATACTTGCAGGTACTTGCGACACGTCGGAGAGGCACGTCACTCTTCCCCTCCTCACTTCCTCACTCTGTTGTTCACCGTCTTTTTCTCCACGCCACCCGTTCTGACCCTCATCTCCAGGAAAATGAGTCGCATGCACTTACCCAAGCCCGTGAGACGCTCCTTCGCGCCAAACAGACCAAGGACGAAGCATGGAAAGCCGCCCGAGCCCGGTTCGCCCAGCTAGTCTCCTCCTCCCCTGGCACCCACCCCCCCGCTCCTCCTCCTTCCCTGATCGACTACCTCGAGCGCGAATCAAGCTACATTTCCGCCTTCGAGGCCGAGGCCGCCGCCCAAAAGGCCTTTGCCGCGTTATGCAAGCCGGCCTTCTCCTCGATCCTGCGCCAGCTCGACCTGCTCCGCTTCGCCGACATGCGCCTCGAGCCCCAGGCGGGCAACACCATGCCCGTGCTCGCCGTCGACCGCGACTGGGTCACGTTTGCCAAGCACAACCCGGACATGGCAGGCCAACAACTCCTCGACGCCGAGCGGCGCAACATCTACTACCGCCCGGCTTACATGCTGCCCCACTACGAGACGACGGTCAGATACTGGACCGACCGGTACGGGGCCAGTTTAGCCAACCCGGTCAACCGGCTGGAGCGCGACGGCCCGTATACGATCCCGCTCGCGGACGTGTGGGAGCGCTGCTGGGCTGATCTGGGACACCCGCTGCTGGACCAGGCCGAGCAGGCGGTGCCGTTGAACGCTGAGCGGAAAGAGCTGATCAACTCGTTGAGCGCGACCGTGACGTTCCTGCAGCGGCCGTTTGTGGCGACTGTGAGCAGGGGCATGTGGGACGTGAATGACCCGCGCGCGCGGTTCGAGCTGGGGCCGAGCGCGCCGCAGAGCCTGAGGGAGACGGTGTACAAGACCTCGAGGCTGATTATTGCCTGGGGGGTGGAGATCGAGCTGACGGTGCCCGAGGACATGATGTCGGCTACGCTAGGCAGTGTGGATAAGGGGACGATGAAGAAGATGATGAATATGACCCTGGCGGGGATGGATCTGCCCTTCAAGACGGTCAAGAACGGGGGTCAGGGTGGGAGTAGATTGGTGTTTAGAGGAGGAGAGGACGGGTTCCCGATTCTGCTGGGGGCGTTTGCGGATATGGTGTAATTAGTACTGAGGAGGAGCCAGCCTGAAGGGAATGTTGATGGATGTAGGTTATATTAGTTGTAAGTCAGGTAAGCAGCGTCGTGATGTTCCAACATGTGGCTACCTACGTGCGAGGGCCTTTGATTTGTCGCTTTCATTTTCGTTTCTTACCATAAGGCCTGAGGACCTTGGGCTCAGTTGCACCAGGCGACAGTAGAACCTCAGGCAGGAATCTTGTGTAATAGAAGTCGCTGGGTCGCTGGACCTTCCAGCGACATAGCGACCCAGCGACGCAGCGGCAGAACCAAAGGAGAACGAAAGTCTATATAAACAGAATGTAGTTCCTTAGATAGTAGTATATGGAGCTTCGTGCTCAACTCAATTAGTAGTTTCATTACTTGTTTACCACTCAACAATTATCTATTCAGCCTCTTCCAAAGGGCAAAAGGGCGGATTTCTTTGATTTTTGGGATTTTGGAATTGCTGACTAAGAAAAAATCGTTCAAAAAAGTGCCAAGAATTTTCAAGTGAAAAGTACCTAGGGCTTACACCTACCTCCCCCCAAAGCGCTCTTAATGCTTTTCAAAAGACCTTTCCTTATACTTCGAAAGAGGTATTTAGAAAATCGATTGAGATAATTCGAAAAGAAATATATCAATCGATTTCTTGAATTCTAATTAATAGTTATATCTCTTTTCTTTTCATTTTATCAATTTCTTTAAGGTTATATCGTATTCTTTTGGAATATTGGCCGCGCGCTAGGAAGAGCTAATACTTTAAGGTTAATTTAGAACCAATTAGCTTAAAGCTCTTTTCTAATTTTAGTTGTATATAATATTAACTCCTTATTTGAGCCATTTCCCAGTTCTATTTAATATAATCAATTTATATTAATAAATCAACTATATTTTATCAATTAATTATAAAAATTATTATTCAATATATCATTATTATTTAATAGATATATATTAAATGAAATTAATACAAATATTATTATATCACCTTCAAATTTAATAAAACCTACAAAAAGAGATAAATATAATAAAATTTTTAAATAGAAAGTGTTAATATAGGTTTTATCATCTTCTATACTACACCCTACACACTATAAATCTATAAGAATTAAATAAAAGATTATTATATTTTATTATTATTATCGGATTTCTATATTCAATCCAAAAACACTTCAAATCAATCGATATCGTTATCTTATATATATAAAGATAAAGGTATATTTTAATATCCCTCCAAAAACAATATATAATTAGATTCGAGATAAAGATATTATAATAAATTCTAAAAGAAATACTAAAGATATACAGTATTATTATAAGCCTTATTAGTCTAAGCTTGAAGATTAATTATATATATACTTTTTAGAAGCTAGAGCTTTAGACAAGCCTATTCAACAAGTATAATTTAAATATCATTTTAGAAAACTCTGGAAAAAAGCTAATCCTGAATGCGAAAACTTATTCACCTTTTCTAAAAAATAGTTTAAAGATTTTTTAAAGAGAAAACAGATATCTTTTTGATATATTATTTATACAATATTACCCCCCTAATTCAATCAATATAATTCTAAAACATTAAATAATATACTAATTTATATATTCTCTAATAAACATTAAAACTATCTATAGAATATATTCAATATATACTCAATTTCCTATACTTTATTCAAAGAAAATCCCAAAATATCAATTCTCCTCCTCCTTCTCCTCCTATTTCTATAGTACCTATTCAAAAAAAACTATAAAAGCTAATAGAAACCGAGAATATTCAATATCTTTATTCTTTATATATCGATTCCTATTTGATCTATTAATTAATACTTAATAAAGCAAAAAAGAATCGATTCAAAAAGAGTATAATCATAAATTTCAATAAAACACCTATTCCTTTCGAATATATTACAAATAAAACTTATAATATTAAAAGAGCAAAAAAGGTATTAGGCAAATCAGATTATAATAGGTAAGATAAATATCAAGCTATTCTAATATTATATATATTTGTTAATAGAATAAATAGAATTCCTCCTAAGCTTATATTCTATAAGATATCTACAAAAAAGGGGAATAGAATTGAAAAGCTTAAAAAAGAATAATATACATCTAAAATCATTATATATTTCAATAAATCTATATATAATAATAAGGAATTATTACTATCTTTTATCGAAAATAAACTAATACCCCTTATTAATATTAAACTAGAAAACCTATTTCTTTTAACCCTCAATTTGTCACGGTCAATCCGTGTAAGGGCTGGCGAGGGCACGTGAGTAGCCCCTGCGGGGCTACTTCGGGCCGACGCCAACCCGCGCACAATTATAAATTGTAGAATTTTCATAGTTTAGAAGGATTAATGAAAAGTCTTTGTGCTACATTACACCTAGTTGATTCATTGCTATTATCTACTCTAACAATTCTTTTCATTCCCCTATATAGAGCAATCCGTCAACTATTTCTTAGTCGAGCAACCATCGGTACCACTATGGTTTCAACAAGAAGAACACCTGTCCCAAGGGGAGAGCGGGATACCCGCAGTGCGACTCAAGACCAATCCGGTGAAACTATCGATCAATTCCTGCAGAGTATCGGCAGCGATGCCCACTCGGCCCAATTGCACCCCCCTGGTGACAACGAGGATGTGTCGTTGGCCCAACAACTTAAAGAAATGAAAGAAGAAATGGCAGCTATGAGAGAGGCTCACAGGGTGGCTATGGACCGCATCTTATATGCAACCACCCCGGTCGAGCATAACCGACCCGCAGCCGTACCGAATGCAACCCACCAGGGTACCAACCTTGATCGGGGAAAACCACCGAAGTTGCAGAGATTGAAACAATACGAAGGAAAGAATATCGAGGAAGCTAAGAACTTCTTCTTCCAGGCAGAAATCATGTTTCGAAGCGACGGTGGGTACCATTTTCCCACCGATACTAAGAAAATAGAACATGTCATCCAATACTTTGAACGGCAGCCCCTGGCGATTTGGCGTCGGTATATGAGCGAGTCAAGTTACGAAGAGATGAACTGGGAAAACTTCAGGGAGTACATGTATGACGCTATCATGGACAAAGGGACTAGACAGCGACGAGCAATCCAAAAGATCGTGCATGCGAGGCAAAAAGAAGGAGAAACTGTGAACGCATTCGTAACCTACCTAGAAGGCCTTGAGGAGGACATCGAGCAGGAGGCGGAGAGTGTTCGGGTCGAGAGGCTCTTAGCGGGTCTACTACCCAGTATAGCCAGGAAAATATCGGAATCCCCACAACAACCTGAGTCGCGCAATGAGCTTATAAGACAAGCCTGTAGACTGGAAAGTGTGGAGAAATTATTCCGAGGAAGAGACGCAGGGGACTCACATCGATCCCGCAAGCATAACCAATCACCCTCTCGATATCGAAATCCATCTAAACGCCCCCACCTGGAAAACAACCCGACCCTAACTGTTAAAACAGAGGTCCAAGAATCAAATCAACCCTCTCGAGAGGAATCCTTCAAGACATCAAGACACCCCGCCAACGTATCGTATGCGGAGCGTATGCGGACCGCTATATGCTATAAATGCCAACAGAAAGGGCACATCGCTTCGAACTGTCGGAACGACTTTGCGTGTAGACGTTGTGGGGGAAGGCATAAAGAAAACGAGTGCCAAAATAACCCCCCTGAGGCTACCCGCACGGGAAACGCCTAGACCCAGCAATTATAATGAGCGTCCCATTGACGCTGGGTCCACACAAAGAAGGGCGGACAATCTTTACAGTCACGGCGATCTTTAATAACAACAGCAAGCCGATAGCGCTCCGATGCCTCGTCGACTCGGGAGCGCAAGCCAATATTATACAGCAAAGCAAGTGTATCGAATGGGACTGGACCCCTACCAAGAAAAGCACTCCCCTTGTGTCGGCAAATGGTACCGCAATTGCGTCGTACGGGGACCATGAATTCCCTGTCGAAGTGAAAGATGAAAAAGGGGAAAAGAGAACCCACACTCATAGCTTCACATCAGCGGTGCTGGACCTACCACGGATAGACGCCATCCTAGGTCTCCCGTGGTTACAAACAGTCAACCCCGATATCGATTGGAAGTCGACGTCACTCCGATACCGCCCCATCTTGAGCAATCTCGAGATCATTCCTGCGAAAGAATTTTACCGGGAAATGAAGGAAGGCAAAGCAGTCTTCGCGATCTTCCCAGACAAAATGGCCTCGCAATCAAAAATAAAAGGGGGCCGCCTGGTACTCGCATTGACCTCACATGAGATACCAGAAGAATTCCAGGAGTACAAGAAGGCTTTCTCGGAAGACGAAAGTAGCCTTCTGCCCGAACACCATCCGATGGAGCATCGCATTGACCTCGAACCCGGTTCGACCCCCCCTTGGGGCCCGATTTATTCCTTATCAGAGGAAGAGTCAGCAATACTACGAGAGTACCTAGATGAGTACCAAAGAAAAGGGTGGATAAGAAGGTCTATCAGCTCGGCAGGGGCGCCTATCATGTTCGTTCCAAAGAAGGGGGGAGGCCATCGACTATGTGTCGACTATCGAGGGCTTAACCGGATCACCAGAAAGGATCGAACCCCCCTACCTCTTATCAGTGAATCCCTAGACCGACTCCGACAAGGTGTTATATTCACCAAGCTAGACTTACGGGACGCTTATCATCGAATCCGCATAAGAGCGGGGGATGAGTGGAAGACTGCGTTTCGCACGCGGTATGGCCAGTACGAGTATAGGGTAATGCCTTTCGGCCTCACCAATGCCCCTGCGACATTTCAGACATATATCAATCAAGCCTTGTCCGGCTTGACGGATAGCATCTG